ACAGTGGTTTATTGTGAATTGCTATGGTGTTTGCTGAACTTTGCTCTCAGCTGTTTCAGGACTTGTAGTATATTTAACCTCTAGAGTCTAGATAAATAGATCACTATTAAACACAGAATGTTCTACTTGTGGCTGTTACTCAGTACCTCATACAATTTAAGGCATATACCCTGAGTTTCAAGCTTTACTCTTTGATTGGAGCGTGCCTACAGAGAGCTTGGTGGGCTCTGTGGACTGACTATCTCCACAGCGCTTTTCACATCCCTCAGTAACAAAGTGGCCATGAGCATGGGCACACAAATCTGGTTTTTCATCCCCATTCTGTCACTTAGTAGCTGTCCTGTAAATTTAGGATATTAATAGTTCCTATTTGTAGATTTGTTGTATGAATTAACTCAGATAATTAATGTGAATAGCTTAGCACAGAACTTGCCATATATGTGGCAGTACATCCTCAGTAAATGGTAGTTGCTTTTATTTTAAACGAGTGTAGTTGGGTTTGAAGACTCATATTGCCCTCACTAATCTTCCAGAAACCCAGTTTGGGGGAGATTTATTATCTATCCTTCGGCCCTCTGAGGACCAGGTCTTCAGCGTCTCTAATCCCTCACCTTCTCCTCTGAACCTCTTACATGAAAGGCTTTGAAGAGACCTCAGCCTTATCAACCACCTTATGCCATGATGTTAACCTTTTGGTTTTGTGGATCCTGTGAAAATCTGATGATTTGGTGTCCAAGCAGATTTGCATACACAGAGTTTTGTGCATGTGGACTCTCAGACATGATCCCAGGCTTTGAGCCCTCCTTAGGTTTGAAGTGGATAGAAAATCTGGATTAGCCAAAACTTTCTCTATATGAGGCACAATACTTAGGATACCTGGTTATGGGCTTTCAGAATTTAGCAAGAATTCAGTTCTTCAGAGAAACCAAGGAATCTTAAAAAAAAAAAAAAAAAAAAACCCTGCTATAAACACATATTCCCCCTCTTTAGTAGAGGGAAATCCTTCTGCACATAAACCGTGGAGAAACAGAATTTCTCTGAGGTATGTAGGCTTAATAGATGACTCCCCACCAGTTAGCAAAAGGGAACCGACCACTTACCCCCTGCTCACTGGAAAAAGATGCCTCCAGTCTGGCCCAGGCCCTGAAGCTGTCCTGTCCCTTGGTTACTGTGGGATATGGGGTGTCCATCTGCAGAAGTGCCAGTGCCAGCCCCGGGGCCACCGTGTTCTCAGTAGTGCCCTCTGATGTCTGCACAGACTCAGTAGCAACAGGTTCAAGTCATTGTTTTCACAGACAGTGTTTCGGTTTACTGGGGATGAGGTATAAATGAACATATCCTGTCACTTCCTAATATTTAGGGGAAAGGAAAGGATCTGAAAACAGGTAAAAGAAAGGCTTACATGGCAGTTTAAACTCATCTTGCTATAACTTTATCAAAGGACACTTGGCACTTGTGGTATTTCTTTATGAAGCAGAGTCGCATTTTATTATCTAGAACTGATGTCATGGACCGCCTTTGTGGGCCCCTCTCATTGACATCCTGATGTCATGCATTCTCGCTGTAATCGGTAACTTGAGGTGATCCTGAGGATTATCTTGATGCAGATAATTATTTCTATTCAGTGTGGAATGATACAGCATTTTAAACTAATTCCAATGCTGTATTGGGATATTATACTTAAAATAACATTTTACATTAAAGTAGAGCCCAAAGAATTTACCGTAATTTCAGTAATGTTCTAAATGAACAATTTAAAAATAGTCACAAATATAGACTTCTATAAAAAAGCAAAGTACATACAAAGATTCAGGAGTAATGCTGTTAGACTGAGTGGTGAGCGTTCTGTCAGTTCTGAGCAGCATCTCTTTAGAACATCTCTCAAATGAGAGTTAATTCTTTTCTACAAGTGTGTAGTGCATTGGACGAGGGGGAGTTATTGGGCACACAGAGCAGTTGAGCATTTGCAGACTGATGGTGTGACAAATGCAGGTTTATAGAGAGAACCCAACCCAAGAGTGAAGGCACTGCGGCATTGAGGAGTGCTTGTGGATGGTGTCGTATCTGGGGTGTTGTCTAGAACTGAGTTGAGCTAATGGTAAGGAAGAAGTGGCAGAGAGGGGACGTAGGAACAAGGTAATCCGTGAATAGAGAAGAATACATTTCTGTGTAAAGGAGCCATGATTGTTTTGGTTGAGTTCAACAGGAACGTAATTGAAAAAGGAGATTTGTGAGTTGTGAACCCGAGAAAATATTTGAGGTAGGTCTTTGAAGCTCAGGCTGAGGAAGTAGAGCCAGTTGATAAACCTGTAGGAGTTTATGGTCCTGAGTGAGGTAACTGAAATGAGGCTCCTGTGTTCTAGAGTGATGGTGCTGTGAGCTAGATTTAGTGTAGTTGGGAACCAGGTGCAGGCATCACCGGAGAGGGCAAGCATGTGCATATGTTGAGACAGAAGCCTGCAGAGACAGTTATTGGCTCTGTGCTTTACTCTGAAATTATAAAAGGAGGAACACATCTACAGTGAAGGAGTTCTGGCTGTCCCCAAATATGAGATGCTCCGCATCTGCCTTTGGTCCTTTCTGTTGCTGCCAGTGGCTGGTTGGATTCAGAGGGATTGGGGCAGAAGGGGAGAAAACCTCACAGTAAATTGCTACATGGGACCACAGCGTAACACCTCCTTTAAGGCTTACATAGCTTGGAGTGGCAACCACCTGTCACATTCCTGATCTGACTTGTAGCGTATTGTACTTATTTACCAGTATAATGTAAAGAAATGGCAGAATACAACCTGCAGATGAATTGCACTGCAGTTAATTTTGCAACCTAGTCTGGCTAGTCTAGCAAGTGTCCAACTTTCTCACCCCAACCTCCAAATGTCCTGTTCTTGGGGAAACAGTCCTTTTAGTACTCCAGTTCCATTCGGGTCAAAATAGGTCTCTCGCCAGCGATATATCCTCCCAATTTAAGCAAGCATTGTCAGCATTTCTGTTCCTGACTCTTTGCCTTCTTGAGCATTGTCTTTCCCAACTCTTAAGCCTTTGTCTTAGTTCTGGAAGGTTGCCATCCCTTTGGTTTTGTCCCAGAGTAGATTCAAGTTAACTTAATTTAGAAGAACTTATTTCAGTTCACTCTAGCCCACCCTCATGAATCAAGCGAATTCAAGGCTTCATGTTCTGTGGTGTAAGGGCGTGGGCCTGCTCAAGCATGTGGACACAGGGAACAGATGCAGCCTGCTGTGGCCTCTCCCATTAGTGGTGTGGCCATGACGGCCATGGGGAAGGTGACCTCTCTCCGACCAGAAACTGGCTGCTGGGCCCCATCCGTGATTTGTTCTTAGGGGCCCAGTGTGAGAGGTGGAGTTGGTTCTGTGAGAACCACCTTTTTAGGGACCACCGCCGCCGTGATACTATTCCCTGACCAGCTCCTCTCAGCCAGAGCTTGGGCGGAAGCTTGTCTTTTATTGGCTGCAGTACGTGTGTTACTTAGGAAAGTAAGTGTGGCAGTTCCAGAAGTCAGAACATTTCTCTGACCACATCACCAGTACAAAATTGCCTGTGACCCACTGTACATCTAAACCAAAAATGTTCTTTTCAGAGCAGTAGTATGGCCTGTATGCTCTTCTTTCTTTAGGGGTAAGGGAGTACATAACATTTTTCAGAGAATTCTCTACCCAAAACAGCTTTAGCCTTCCTCTACAAGGGGTTTTATTTTAACAGCAAAGAAAATACCTTTTTACCTCTTTTCTAGATAAGTGTTTGTCCACAAACACTTATTTTCTCCAGTATACAGGCCCTACTCATGGAGAACTATAGTTGTAATACTCATTTGAGAGAGGGTGGGAGACGGTCTGGAGAGGAGCCAGATGTGGAAAAGCGTTGCTGGCTGGTTTGGAGCAAAAGAGAAAAGCAGAAAGAAAGGTAGATTTTTGAAGGCTTTGAGTCTAAATCTCTAGGATACATGATGACGGTGCTGATGATGGAATGGAAAAGCAGTTGTTTTAAGAAGGAGATAAATTTGGAGCACTCTCTATGCTGTTCCAGACATCAGGGAATGTTGCTTTGGACAGTGGGGATGTAGAGAAGGGCCTGTGGCCTTTGGTGACCTTAGACTTTTCTGCCCCAAAGTGTTCTTAGAATGTAAAGAGGGCTGGCCCCGTGGCTTAGCGGTTAAGTGCGCGCGCTCCGCTACTGGCAGCCCGGGTTTGGATCCCGGACGTGCACTGACGCACCGCTTCTCCGGCCGTGCTGAGGCCACGTCCCACATACAGCAACTAGAAGGATGTGCAACTATGACATACAACTATCTACTGGGGCTGTGGGGAAAAAAAAGGAGGAGAATTGGCAATAGATGTTAGCTCAGAGCTGGTCTTCATCACAAAAAAAAAAAAAAGAATGTAAAGAGCCAGTGCCACCCCTTTCAGCTTCCCTCCTCAAAGGCCATTTTCCAAAGCCTCAGAGTAGGGTGTTTCAGAGAAGCGTTATATGAACAATAGACACGTGGTAAGAATACTAAATGGCATTTTTTTGGGTTAGTGCCGTCAGGTTGATTCCGACTCCTAGCGACCCTGTGCGCAGCAGAGCAGAACCCTGCCAGGCTTTTTGCACCATCTTCTCCCCTTCTGGCACTATATCAGACAATGCTCCGCTGCTAATAATAGGGTTTTCATGGCCAGTTTTTTCAGAAGTGAATGGCCAGGTCTTTCTTCCTAGTCTGTCTTAGTCTGGAAGCTCTGCTGAAACCTGTCCACCATGGGTCACCCTGCTGGTATTTGAAGTACTGGGGGCATAGCTTTCAGCATCACAGCAACATGCAGCTGCCACAGTGTGACATCCTACAGAAGGGTCATGTGGTTCCCTGACCGGGGCACAAATCCAGGCCGTGGCAGGGAGAGCACCAGATCTTAACCACTAGACCACCAGGGCTGGCTACTAAATGGCCTCCGTGACACTTTATGTAGTCGTCAGGAGTCAATAGTCATGTGTGTGTGTTTTTCTCTTAGGTTCATTTTCCGGACACTGAAAGAGCAGAATGGCTAAATAAGGTAAGAGTAGAGTATACTAAACACCAGATATCAGTGGGATAGAGGATGAGATGCCGTCTTTCTGTATTTGGGAATTTGGATGTTGACAATATGGGAACTCGTTTGTACTTAGTGGGTTTGGCTTCTGCTCCCGAAAGATCTCAGTCATAATGTTGTGTTACTTTCTTTTTCTAAACAGTGAAAACTGTGTTGTTTGACATGAGAAAGTTAATGATGTAATCACAGTTGTATCTTTGACCTTGTGTCTTCTCTCTTGATCAGCCTAGTGCTCAAATCTGTTTTATAATAATAAGTGAAAATTTTGGAAAGATTATGAAGAGGGAATTAACTCCCAAGAAACCTAGTGATAGGTAATAATCATTTGTTTTCTTAAAAAATGGTTATGTTGGGGGCCGGCCCAGTGGTGTAGTGGTTAAGTTCACGCACTCCACTTTGGCGGCCCGGGGTTTGCAGGTTCGGATCCCAGGTGTGGACCTATGGACTGCTTATCAAGTGATGCTGTGGGGCAGGCGTCCCACATATAAAGTAGAGGAAGATTGGCACAGATGTTAGCCCAGGGCCAATCTTCCTCAGGAAAAAGAGGATTGGCAACAGATGTTAGCTCAGGGGTAATCTTCCTTACCCAAACAAACAAACAAAAAGGTTATGTTTTTAGATAGCATACTTTGAAGTAGATCTCTTTTATCTCTATATTTTATATATCCTTAGAGCTATATAGTAAAAACTAATGTAGATAATGTTAACCTTACAGCACTGGAAGTTAGTCCATCATTAAAGAAAATTCGTTAATGTTTATTAAGATCTATACAGTTGTAGAAGGTTTTCCATAATGAGTTGAAACACAGGATTTTCTGGTTTTTGGCAATCATTAAATATGCTTATATGCTTAAACAGACTTTTACCAGAATAACTAATTCCTACAAGATATTAGTTAATCAACAGTCTATTGTTGTAATACATTTTTGAAATTTAGATTGTGCGGATTTTGCATAACAAAAAGGACCCACCCTTTAATGTTCAAAATTTCTGGTAAACTATAGGGGCATAATTTTTCATGATGACTTAAGTACATTATGTATTATAACATTTTGTTTAACATGAGTTCTTTTTCCTTTCCAGACTGTAAAACATATGTGGCCTTTTATTTGCCAATTTATAGAGAAGTTGTTTCGAGAAACCATAGAACCAGCTGTGCGAGGAGCAAATGCCCACCTTAGCACCTTTAGTTTCACGAAAGTTGACATGGGTCAGCAGGTCAGTTCTTAAGTATCTCTCCTTGAGCACACGGTAGGATTGCTGTGAAAACCCTTAAACTACTTCAAATTATTTTCTAGAGAACATTGTTTCCAGGGAGGGTCTGGTGGAGGGTCTCTGCAGCTCCCCCAGGTTCTGCCTCCCGCGTGGGCTGCCGTCTGCCCCTCTGTCGGTCGGGGAGTCCTCGCCTTGTGCTCAGTCATCTGCTGTGCTCTTCCAGCTACTTCAGGTCCATTGGCTCGTTTCTCTTAGTGCCGGCTGTCTTTCTCCCCCACATTCTTCTGTCAGCATTACCTTTGTACAGTTTTCCACAATCTGTCCTGTTGGAAATGTAGTCTGATATGTGAATTCACACTAAAGTTTCACTAATTGAAAGCGAGCTTAAGGTGTTTACCCCTCCAGATGTTTAAAAACAACTGAGAGCTCCAGTGCCAGGCTTGTAGGCGTCACAGTAATTACATAGGTGAAGGGAAAGATAGATTTTGTTATTGGAATCCTATTATATACAAAGAAAAACTGCTAATTCGTAATATTACTTCTAGTGAAAGCCTCAAGACTACATCTAAACTAGTTGATCATGGCAAGTTTCCTTGTTTATTTTTTTAAGTCAGTGTTTACAATAATTAGCAACAGTTCAAGGTAACATTTTCTTTTATTGAGGTATAATTGACATATAACATTATATAGTTTCTAAGATAACATTATTTTATATGCCTAATAAAAATTCAGAATGCAATAGTACTTTTAAACACACACATGCACATAGTTTACACCCGTTTAGTGCACGTACAGCAGAGCCAGGCAGCATGTCACCATACACCATGTTCAGATGTCTTTGTTTCAGCCCATCGGGGTTTTAATAAATGTGGCTGGGGAGTGTCTGACCTGGTTGCTGTGTTGTGTTTGTCACTCCTCGTCAGTGTCAGTGCCCCCAGACTCGTTCCCCTCCCACACTCCCCAGGCTGTGGGTCACCTTCCCACATCAAAGGTGACCTTCTGCCTGCAGAGAATGCTCCATCTCGTCTGCGGGTACTCAAAACCCGCATCTCCAGTTCAGGCACATGCATTGTACTTGGCTGTGTTGTGCAGGCTGTTTTTCCTCCTGGCCGTGAGGTCTTCTGGTAAATATTTCGGGTTTTGATGGCCACACAAAGTCGTTGAGGCATATTCTTCTCCTGCCCCTCCCATCCCTTCTTTTATAACCCTTTAAAAATGTAAAAACATTCTTAGCCAAAGGCCAAATTTAGCCTGCAGGCCTATAATGTAAGGTATGCTCATGTTTGTGGAGATTGAGAATTCTAACCCCAGCTGGATTTGTTTTAGGAAGAATTATATTTGCGTTGTATTACATGCACCTGAAGTTTGATGCTAACTAAATAAGAGCACCATCAGAGAACAGCGTAGTAAGAGTAGCGGTGATTCGGTAAAGGTAGCGTGGCGTCGTTATCGACTGCACTGACACCTTACACATGCAGGCAGACTCAGACTGTCTGATAAAGGAACAGCCCAGCAGGGTGTGCAGAGCCCTGAGCAGGGCGCCTTGTCCACTCTGTGTGCTGGCTGAGTCCCTTGGGTGGCTGGATTCTGTTGCCTTCAGGTGTTTGTCCTTCAGTCATCTGGAGTGAGGTTGGCCTCCTGCTATTCCTGATGTAAGATGTCGTCTAAGTGGAGGAAGGGAATATTATCTAATGCAAACATTTAAACTAAAGGTACTCAGTTATGTATGCCCCATTTTCACTTACCAACATAGTGAGTTGACTGTGTTCTTTGAGTCTGTACATGTCTGAGCTAGTACCATCAGGGAAGAGCCCAGGACCTGGCATAGTAGGAAATGAAGACTCTCAAATAAAGACTTAGAGTTTAATCCTATAGCTAGTTGAGGGGTAAGATTTCAGGACACCCAAACTCTCAGAGTAAGCAGTAGATCTCTAAAGATAAGGTATTTCTCAGCTTGAGTTTTTAATGCTCAAATGTGATGTTGAGAACTTTCTTAGAAGGGATCTCAAATTGATAAATGGGAGAAGGTTTTGAATGATGTTGTAACTGGACCCTTGAAAGATGACATTTATTATAAGCTGCATTTTCTTTTTACAGAGTGATTTGTTTCTGACCCTGTATCATGTATTAGGTGTTGAAATTATACCTACAGCTAGTATTTTTGATTCACCCGAAAGCCCCATTTTTGTGAAAATCTTAAATGAAAAATTACGGGACATAAAGAAAAAAATGAAAGGAAGTTGTGTTTCAGACAGTGTAGTAAATGATGGAGTAGAGGGAAAGAATCAGTAAATTGGAAGAGATAAAGGGCTAGGGGCTTGGACAGGAGCAAAACTCCATCACAAGTGAGCCGACAGCAGCAGGTCTCATGTCACCAAGCACTCGCTGTGTGCCAAACGTGCACTGAGTTCCTTACATTCCTCATGTCCTTTAATTTTACAGTAACCTCAAGTGATAGATACCAGTATTACCCATATTTTACAGTTGAAGAGACTGAGGAACAGAGGTTAACAACTTGCTGAAAGTCAAGCAGCTAGTGTGCTGTGAAAGCAGAATTCTAATTCTCATAGCCTGATGCTAATGCTCACTCTCTTCATCTCTATGCCGAGTTTGATTTTTTTTTTTTACCCTCCCTGCATTTTAAAATAAGCCACTTCTTGTTTCAGCCCCTCAGGATCAATGGTGTTAAGGTGTATACTGAAAATGTGGACAAAAGGCAAATTATTATGGACCTTCAGATTAGGTAAGTTTTTATTTGTGTCATAGTTAATGATGTATAATGGCACTTAGATATACCCATAAGGTGGAGGATATAATGAGCACACTTCCTACCTGTTGTTTTTGTGGAATTTGACTAAATTCTTGTTGAAGACCCAAAATTATTTACTTTCTGGGTCTCACTCCATTCCGAATAGCTTAGATAATTGCTATTCATAAAACATGTTAAATAAAAGAAATTAATGGCTATACAAGAAAACTACAAACCCCTATCCCTTATGAATGTGGCTGCCAATCCTCAACAAAATACTAACACACTGAATTCAGCAACATATTAAAAGGATTATATGCCATTACCAAATGGGATTTATTCCCAGGATGCAAAGATTGTTCAACATATTGATGTTCAAAATTGATCGGTGTGATACACCTGATTAACAAGATGAAGGGGGAAGAAACACATGATCATCTCAGTTGATACAGAAAAAGCATTTGACAAAATTCAACACTCTTTCCTGATAAAAACACTCAGCAAACTATGAACAGAAGGAAACTATTTCAGCATAATAAGAGGCATGTATGAGAACCTCACAACAAACATCATACTCAGTGGTAAAAGACTGAAAGCTTTTCCTCAAAGATCAAGAACAAGACAAGGATGCCCACTTTGACCACTTCTGTTCAATATGGTACTGGAAGTTCTTGCCAGAGCAGTTGAATAAGAAGAAAAAGAAATAAAAGGTATCCAAGTTGGAAAGGAAATTATCTCTGTTCACAGATAATGTGATCTTGTACTTAGAAAACCCTAAAAGATTCCAGCAAAAAAACCCCTTAGAACTAATGAACAAATTCAACAAGGTAGCAGGAAACAAAATCAACACACAAAAAATTAGTTACATTCTATACACTAACAATGAATAATTCAAAAAGGAAATTAATAAAACAGTTTCATTTACAATAGTATCAAAAAGAATAAAATACTTAGGAATTAACTTAACCAAGGAGGTGAAAGACTGGTACAATGAAAACTACAAAACATTGCAGTGACAAATTAAAGAAGATATAAATAAATGGAAAGACATCCCATGTTCATGGATTAGAAGGCTTAATATTATTAAATGTCAACACTAAAAGCAATCTGTAGAATCAGTGTAATCCATAATCATATATCTGATAAGGGATTGATATCCAGGGTATATAGAGAACTCCTCCACTCGACAACAACAAAAACCCAGTTCACAAATGAGCAAAGAACTTGAATAGACATTTTTCCAAAGCAGACATACAAATGAATAGTAGGCACTTGAAAAGATGCTCAACCTCACTAATAAACAGGAAAATGCAAATCAAAAGTACGAGATAGCGCCCCACCCATCAGATGGTTCCTATCAAAAAAACAAAACAAGAGTTGATGGGGATGTGGAGAAATTGGAGCTCTTGTGCACTGTTGGTGGGAATGTAAAATAGTGCAGCCGCTGTGGAAAACAGTATGGAGGTTCTTCAAAAAATTAAACGTAAAACTACCATATGACCCAGCAATTCCACTTCTGGATATACACTCAAAAGAATTGAAAACAAGGTCACAAAGAGGTACGTTAGTGCCCCCTTATCTGCAGTTTCGCTTTCCATGGTTTCAGTTACCCTCGGTCAACCGTAGGTCCAAAAATATTAAATGGAAAATTCTAGAAGTAAACAGTTCATAAGTTTTAAATTGCATGCCGTTCTGAGTAGCACGATGAAATCTTGTGCTGGCCCGCCCAGGACGTGAATCATCACTTTGTCCAGTGGATACATGCTGTATACAGCCCCTGCCCATTAGTCACCTAGTAGCCGTCTCAGTTATCAAATCAACTATCGCAGCATTGCCGTGCCTGTGTTCAGGTAACCCTTACTTTACTAAATAATGGCCCCAAAGCACAAGAGTAGTGATGCTGGCAATTCGGATATGGTAAAGAGAAGCTGTGAAGTGCTTCCTTTAAGTGAAATGGTGAAAGTTCTCAACTTAGTGGGGAAGGAAAAAAATCACGTGCTAAGTTTGCTAAGATCAATGGTAACTTTTATTATAGTATATTGTTATAATTGTTCTATTTTATTATTAGTTACTGCTATTAATCTCTTACTGTGCCTAATTTATAAGTTAAACTTTATGTATCATAGGTATGTATGTATAGGGAAAAACATAGTGTATGTAGATTCGGTACTAGCCATCGTTTCAGGCATCCATTGGGGGGTCTTGGGACGTATCCCCGGCAGATAAGGGGGGACTACTTTATTTGTACACCCATGTTCATAGCAGCTTTATTCCCAATACCTAAAACGTGGAAGCAACCTAGGTGTTCATTGACGGATGAATGGATAAGCAAAATGTGATATGTAAATGAAGTTAGTATTATTCAGCCTTAAAAAAGAAAGAAATCTTGCCATATGCACAACATGGATGAACCATAAGGACATTTTGCTCAGTGAAATAAGCCAGTCACAACAAGACAAATACTGTATGATCCCACTCATATGAGGTCCCTAGAGTAGTCAAATTCATAGAGACAGAAAGTAGAATGGTGGTTACCAGGGCCTGGGGGGAGGGAAAAATGGAAAGTTGTTGTTTAATGGGTACAGAATTTCAGTTTTGCGAGATGAAGAGAGTTCTGGAGATGGATCGTGGTAATGGTTGCACAACAATGTGAATGTACTTAATACCACTGAACTATACACTTAAAAACGGTTAAGATGGTAAATTTTATGTGTATTTTACCACAATAAAAAAAAATTAAATTGGGGGTCTGCCAGGCACCATGCCTGACATAATAAAGGTGATTTTCTTTGGTTCTTGTACTCATTCTTCGTGAACTTGCTTATGGCTTCCTGCATCCCCTGTGAGCCTAATAACACAGCTGTTTGTGGGGTGACTGCTAAAGAGTGTTGACTGAGGACATGGTTCAGGGTGTTGTTTCTCTTTTTGATCCTTGAACAAGAATCATTTTATTTTATAATGTTGTCTTTGAGCTTCTAAAGTATATTCATATAGTAAATGTACAGAGTTGATACCAGTTACTTTTATTTTAGAAAAGTGCATAGAATGTCCATAACAATCTAATATGGAAAAATCTGCATCTGTAAAATATTTGACACTGCTGCAAACACTGCTGTCATCAGTGGAATAAAAGAGGAAGCCCCACGTATGTCTTCAGTTGAGCTGTACCCTGAAAGGACTGTCCACCAGGCTGATAATGAGCTTTGTGAAGATGGAAACCTTATTTTCTTGTTCCAGCACTGAGGGAAGATTTCATACACGTTAAATGAACATTTGAATGAATCAGTTCATGGATGCCATTTTGAAGATGCTGCCTGGCTTTCGTGGTTTTAGCAGTCGTAACACTATATGCAAATTGTGCTCCTCAGATATTTGTCTCTAAAAAGATTCTGCATGCTACTTTTTTTGTATTTTCCAGATAAGAACCTTAACTAGATTATTGGCAGTAGAGATGGGGAAGGAGTAATTGAAAGACATTAGGAAATAAAAAGATCAAATCTTAGGGTGAAGAAGGGAAAGTTTCGAGATGGTTTTATAACAGGTTATTGGTGATTTTACCAACTATATAGAGAATCATGCTCAATGAGAAGAATCTGTAGGTATTGGCTTTAACACCAGGACAATAAATATTGGAAGAATTTCATCCCAGATGCCTTTTGTTAATATTTTGCTCATGTGCTTAGACACTGTCTATCCAGCATTTATCAAACTGCCCCAGACGTTCTCAGGCAGGAGCACAATGTCTCGCTTCCAGAGTCGAGGGCGGGAGTCAGATCATAACAGATCCCACACAAAACGTAGTTGATGTTCCATATTCATCTTAAAAATAGATGCAAGCCTTACATTCAGCATCACACTATGTTCATGTTTGTTTTGTATTAACGACTTAATCATTTAGTAAAATTGATGCCCCAAACATGTATCGTTTCTAACTTTTGACATCACAGAGCCCTGTAGCAGTGCTAGTTTTCTCAGGACTGAGGAGCATGGGTGCAAAATTTACTTATGATGAAATATAATCTAAACTTTTTTAATGTTTTAAACAAACGTGGTTGTTTATAATACAAATGGAAACTACGTTCCATCAAGAGACTGCTCCAGAATTTGCACTTTGGAAGTTACATTTGTAACAAGCCCTAAGTCCATGCAGCAGGCCTCCCCATCAGTGTGGCAGTGTCGGATCTGGTAGCAGTGTCGGCTGCAACCTGGCAGTAAGATACCAACTCGGCCGCAGGTCATAGCTTTGCCTACAGTCTGGTCTTGGTTGCTTTGCTATCATTTTATTCAGATGATATACCTTGCATGTCTGTGGTGATGAAGAGAATGTAATACACAACTTTCTCTTTGCTAGTTTTGTAGGAAATTGTGAGATTGATTTGGAGATCAAGCGATATTTTTGTAGAGCTGGTGTGCAAAGTATACAGGTAAGGTTTTTTTACATTTCAGTCTTCTAAAATTTTCTGTGCTCTATTCAAAAAAAACATTGTGAAGTTTTTATTAACTCAAAATTTCTTTGAAGTTAAGTTTTTATTCGTAGGTTATACTTGAGAAAACCTGTAGTCAAATACTCGGAAGTCACTAAGACGATGGTGCATCCTCCTTGCATCAGTCAATGGCCTGTGGAATTGTTTTCTATTACATGTTTGGTTTCCTTTTGAATTTAGATCCATGGTACAATGCGGGTGATCCTGGAACCGTTGATTGGAGACATGCCCTTGGTAGGAGCTTTGTCTATCTTCTTTCTTAGGAAGCCGGTAAGTCAATGTTTATTTTGTTCATATCTTCCCATTCGCTGACAAGAATATGTACATAATGAAGAATATATAAAGCACAGAAAGAGTTCTCCCCTTAACTCACTTTTTTCCCTTTCTGACACATGAATCCTGTGAATGTTTTCATGCCTCTTTGTGCCTTAATGAAAGGCTTCATCTCTCTTTTTTTTTTTTAATTGATGTTTTAATGGTTTCTAACATTGTGAAATTTTGGGTTGTACATTTTTGTT